TCTGCCTCTATAATTCCCCTCTCTAGAAGAAATCTGTCCACGCTCCCTATGGATTCACAAATATATACACACATATTAGTGGTCCTTTATTTTTTCCTGCTTGATATTATGAATCATAATACCTATGACATACCATACGTACATTCAACATATAATTTCTGAATGTAGAATTTCCAAAGCCAGTGTAGTGCAGCTGTTACACATCAGTGAATTGAATGTATATACACATTTATAATAGCTTTGCAATGGCTGCATTTATGGTTAGGATATACCACAATCCAATTAGTCACTCTATTCCTGGGCACTATTTTCCTGCTTTTAAACATTATAAGCAATGCCGCTATGCCCACCCCTATTCATGTTTTTGTATTTATATGTGATTATTTCTACAGATCAAGTCCTAAAAGATGGATTTGCTGGTTTGAAGGTGACAAGCATTTATAGCAGATTGGAGCTGGGGAAGCCACGAGAAGCCCCTTTATCATTCCCAGCTTACTGTAATGACTCCACTTGCACCCTGCTTTAGGAGTGCTACTGAAAATAGTTTTGTTTTTGTTTGTTTGTTTGTTTGTTTGTTTGTTTTTGTTTGGTTTGAGTGTGAACTTTTGAACATGAAAAGATCAAGCAGAAACTCATCTGAGTGTGGGCTGATGTATGCTTTGCCCAGGATTTCCACTTTTCCGGATCCATCCTATAAAAACCTCCTGAAATGAAACAGTGGAAGTTCGTTCAGCTCTAATCCAGCTGTGATGAGAGACAAGGGGGCTAGCTAAAAATGTGAATCAGTGGGCTGAGTGCCCCAAGGGAAGGTACCTGTAATATTTTGACAGAATTATCAGTCCTGGGACTGGAGCAGAAATTAGCAGAGCATCTCCACAGTTGGGGGAGGGTGGGACATCTCCCTCCTCTCCCGGGAGTGGGAGTGCACCCATCAGCTAGGACAGTGGTCCCAGTTTCCAGCACTTCTCATGATTGCGGAAGTTCTCTGAGCAAGGTGCTCCAGGATGCAGAGGTTTGCAGACTGCCCCCATCCAACCGTAGGAGGTGCCCTACCATTGGGGGTTTGTTCAGGGACCTGCTGGGTAACCAGAAGGGCTGCCTGCCCTCCTCTTCCCACTCCTCTTTCCTCCTTTGCTTGGCTTGAGGCCAAACTGTCATCTAAGGAGGAAAGGTAAAGAACTTTAATTCGAGTTTTGAAATTCAAACTCAGTAACAACCTTGTAAATTTGAGAGCAATCACCAAATTGCCCTCTACAACAGAAGTTCGACTTCATACTTCCCTGAATAGTTTCCTTGACACCTTGATGAAACACATTAAGCTCATTAACCTTAATTTTTGCCAGTCTGATTTCTCATTATTATCTACGTTTTCTTAAACAATGTTAGGATAAAAAGACAAGAAAATCAATTCACCTGTCTGTGGACTATTTGTATTTCTTCCATAAATTGCTTGCTTATGACCCATGTCCTATTTTTAAATGGGGTATCTTTTTTTTACAGATCCATAGGAACTCTTGACATGTTCTGAATATTAACGCTTTTAACAATACACTGAAGTGGTCTTAATTATGGCTTCCAGCATACAGATATTTTATATGTTCCTGTGCTTAGAACACACTGAACCCCAGGTCCATCCTCCCACTTCCCCTCATCCTCCGGTTTGTGGAAGGAGCAAATACAGTTCCTGAGACTGGGCTGCTAAGAGCTCTGAAATCTTGACAGGACTAGTAGAATAAGGAGATGCTACTGTTGATGAAAGTTGCAAAGAAGCTTCCAGAGAGACCTGCACTCCTTTTTCGAGCTCCAGCGGTATTGAGGAAATCAACACAATGGTTATTTTCATATGCAAATACGGGGCTGAGGCCCTGCTCTGCTTTGGAGAAGTTAAGGCATTGCTTAACAGAATAAGCTGCCTTCTGTGAAAGAAAACAGTTTTCCCACGCTGCAGGCAGAGGCAGAGCTCTAAGTAAGGAGAGACACTGCTTCCACCCTGTGGCTTACTCTTTTTGAGATGCACCTGTTCTTTAAATAATTGCTTACAGTAGATAAAACCCCAAGACACCCAGAAGACTAGGCTGGCAGGATCATCCTCTAGAAGTGGAGGAACAAGGGGGTGCAAAGATGATGACCTTGGTCAAACTCAGTCTTGGGCCAGATACTATTTAAAACTGGAGAACCTCAGCCTTGAGAAATGTTAGAAAAAAGGAAATTTCTTTTTGTTATTAATTTAGAAGGGGATATTGTGAGAAAGTGGCCTCTTGTCATTTTCCAGCTCTCTCACTGGTCCTAGGGTTTACCAGAGGTGACGGTCCGGTGGAGAGCATACCACTTTGAGCAGGTCTCCTCTGTATGAAGTAGACAGTCCTACATCGATCATGCCAGAAAAGCCTGTTCTTGGGATAGGACAGGTCACCTGTAAAAGTGATATAATATAATCTATCTTCAGGGGTTTGTTCTTTTGGCAGGACCTACATTGGGATTGAGAAAGAAGTACTATTTTCTTTAACCTTACTCTCTATGCTGTGCTGAATGGCATCCCAGGGTGGTGTGGAAAACCTGACTTTTACTTGTCCCTAGGGACACAGAGGCCATATCCTATGGAACAATGTGATTTTAACAAAGAGATTGTAGCATCCATAAGCACAAAAGAAACCTAGCAAACTTGGCCAAACCTGTATGTACACTGCCTAAATATATTATGATTTGGGGACCATTAAAAGAATTTGCATCTTCCAAGAGTCCTCTCCTCCTTCCTGGTCCTTCCCCTCTAACTTTATTAGAATACACCTTTTATACAAAAGCTAAATTACATTTATTTATGGTGAAAACATTTTCCCCCAAACAATTGCCAAAAACACTATCCCAGAGAGAGCTAAAGCCCTATAATCCCATTACTCTGCTTAATTCTTTATCATCTTCCACAGGAATTCAAAATTTTTGCATAGTTGCAATCATGTGCCCATACAATGATATATCCTGCATTTGAAAAAAAAAATTAATGTTACACAGCTCAAAGGTCCCTGCCCACAAAATGACATAGACATGAGCTCTTCTGGAAAGAAAACTGATCTTGGTCTCAGGCACTTTCATTTGAGTCACAGCTTCAATGTAGACAGAATGACCTTGGGCACATTTCTTAATCTCCAGACTATATTTCTTCATTTCTAGAATGAGATTCTTCTCGCTTGCAGGATGGAAAGGAGGAACAGATATGATGCATAGGCAGTAACTGACTCAATGTTGGTCAGTGGCTGGTCTTATTTCCTGAACTGATGGTTTTTGTGCCAAGCACTGGGCCAAGAATTCTTTAGATCATCGTCTATTTAAATCCTAACAACCCCTGAAGATAGGTTTTTTTATCTCTCTTTTACAGGTGGCACAAAGGAAGTACACTGAGGCTAAGGCACATGCTCAAGGTCACAAGGTATGCCAGTGGAGGAGGTGGAATTTGAATGAGGTTAGGGTGAACAGTGTCTTTTTGGCCACTCCTATAAGGCAGCACAAATTCCTCCTAAGAATAGCAGATGACCTGTCCCCTTTGCACATGACTTTGCAGATCCAAAAATCCTAAGGACTGAGTGAATGAGGTATAATACTGGTTTAATTCTGAAGATCGTGAACAAAAGAAGGATAATAAGGAACTCAGGAAAAACTAAAAAGAGCAAAGCAACCTCAAGGAAAATTGACCTAGGTGGGCAAATTTCCCAAACATCATTCACTACTCTGATGTATCCGGAGTGACCTTCAAAATTTCAAAATTTGTGTGGGTTACTTCAAAGGCAATTTGTGGAAAAGTAAGGAGATAGGCATTTTCTGAACACTCAAGTTTTTTGATTGGTAAAACCAGGATAATAACAAGTGTTGTCTCCCAGGGCTGTTGTTAAAATTAACACAAATACCAGAAGGGCCAGCACAGATGAAGGACTTTATTTCAGTGCGGTGAAACGCTGCCGCTTTGAATTAGACCCAAGTCTGTGGCTCTTCTCTCTGGGGTCATTTGATGGCATGTGATTACCATGTTCACTGTCCAAAGGCTGGAGCTATTAACTGAATGTTGCTAGACAATGAATTACTTCACAAACACTGAAATATAAAAAGTATTCGGAGCCATCCAAGTATGAGGACATTATTAATTTATGCTTTTCTCAAGAGAGCTACTTTAACAAGAAAGAAAAATCCACGTCCCACCTTCGTTCTTCTCCCTAAAGTAACGTCTCCTCCAAAAGACAAAAGAGCACTAACGCATTTGTCCTTGAAAGGCGGAGCCCAGAAATTCTCGAGTTCTGAACTGCTGGGGACCAAACCGCCTGCTTCACTTGGTGTCACAGAAGTCCCCGGTGCGCCAAGCAAATGTGTTCTTTTCTGCGGCCCGCCACCCCGGCGGGGAAGGGGAGTACCCTGGCCGCCCCACACTTTCCCCGCTGCAGCTTTCCAAACAAACCAAGGCGGGATGGGAGTGTCTTCTTGGCTGTAGAACTCGATCCTCCTACCTTGTCCTGAAGCCACCCGCTGCTTTTCCCCGGCCCTCCCTTCGTGGTGATTTTCCTGTCCGGGACGCCCGGGAAGGGCGCGCGGCTGGTGTCCGCCCAGCCCGAAAGGTACGGGCTTTCCGGCCGCCCTGCTCCGGGGACGCGGAGACCCCCTCAGTCTCCCTCTGCATTGCACCTTCCTCCGTGAACTTGGGGGCGGCCGTGGTCACCGCGCGTCTGGCGCCAGCAGGCGAGCAGGAGGAGCTTCCCCGCGGCTCCGGAGGCGCTCGGCGCAGTCTCCCGGGATCCAGACCGGGCGCGGAGGGCAGGCGCACGGGCGGGCGCCTCCGATTCTCCGCGGCGCGGCGCTTTCCGCAGCTCGCCCGCCTGGTCGGTGGAGGAATCGTGCCCGCGCCAAGCCTAACCCGGGCCACCTTCCTCCGGTTTTTTCCGCCGGCCTTGGGCTTCCGCGGCCCGATGCGGCAGGCGCCGCGGGAGCAGCAGCATCCGGCTGGAGCGAGCGGCGGCGGGCGGAGAGCAGCGGGCCTCCAGCCGCCCAGCCCCGCACACCCCTGCAGTCTTCGCTCCTGGGCCTTGGAGGGTAACTCTCTCCCGCCGGCTTCCCCGCGCGTTTGCATTGCCCGGGTGAGGGGGACTGGGGATGGGGGAGACCGAGTTCCCCACGCTGGTTGGGGCGGCCTGCGATCTGTGCAGCCTCTGAGCGTCGCGGGTGGGGGGCACGCTGAGCCGACAGCTCCCTCCGCGCACTCTCCCGACCCCGGCAGCGTCCGAGCGCTCGGCCTCCTGGTTTAGGGGCTGGAGAGACTGGACACCCGGGGCGGAGAGGACTTGCGGGGCGCTCGGACCCCCAGGGCGGGAGGAGGGGCGCTGCGAGTCGGGAGGACCTGCTTTGGGACCCGTTTTTCTCAAATCTTAGGGGGGAGCTTGGGCACTCGCGTGCCGACAAGGGTGGGGGCTCCTTGTTCACCTTTGTTTTGTAAAAAGGTCTGTCCGCGAATGGGGGCTAGAGATCTGGAAGGTTCTCGTTTTTTATCTTAGAAAATTTTCCAACAAACCCTCCTTCCCGCCACAGTAGAACTAGACCTAACAAAACAAGCACCGAGGCAGTTTGGGGGAAAGAGCGGTGGTTGAGCAACTCGCAAGGTTTGGGCTCCCGTTAGTTTTCAAGGTAAAAAAGAAACGACTTGTCATTTTGAGGCCGTTGCTCTAGGGTTCTCTGGATATCTCAGCCTCTTTCTTCTGTTATTTTGGCTTAAAAGAAAATCTGTAGACGATTTCTAGAAACTAAATACAAACCCCAAACACCTTCTTACAGGATCTTCAGAAGAAGGGGTGGGGAGAGAGGTGTGTGGGGGGAAGTGGGGGTGGAGGTGGGGGTGGTGCTTGCTGTTAAAAGGTAATATTTAAAAACTGTATGTGGGAGAGGGGATAGGAATAACATCCGTGGATGCCATCAGAAACCACAAAAACTGCAGATTCAAAACTCAAAAAAGTCACATGCATCTGAGTACTCTGATTAGGTGGATAGTTAAGGGACTGCAGGAGAGCCGGAAACTCCTTGCCCTCCTTGGCTCTTCTGCTCGTTTTCACACTGATGTTTAGGTTTCTGATGGCTGCGTGTACTGTGCTATCGTGTGGGTGTTTGACTTTCCGGTCTTCAGACTTCCTCTCCCAACTGCAGACGGTGACACTGTCTTATTTACACGGAGATGTTCAGTATTTGGGAAGATCTGGTCAGGGTATGAGGTTATTTTCCTTTTGAAAACAAGTTGATTTGACATTTGTAAATTGGTTGTGTAGCTTCCTTTTCTTCTCAGCAAGGACTGTTTTTCACACCCAGACATGCAAAAGAGACACCCAGATTGTTTTGTAGTCTGTTGTCACTGAATAAGGCCAGTTGCCTCAGAGACATTTTATTTTATTATTTTTTAAAGATTTATTCATTTCAGAGACAGAAAGGGGGGGGGGGAGGAGAGGACAGGCAAAGGGAGACAAATCTTCAAGCAGACCCCCTGCTGAGCACAGAGCCCAACACCAGGCTCCATCTCTGGACCCTGAGATCATGATCTGAGCCAAAATCAAGAGTAGAACACCTAACCAACTGAGCCACCAGGCCCTCCGACTCAGACAATTGAGATAATGGCAGCTTTGGTTTATAAGGAGAAAACGTTTTTGAGAAACTGATTGTATCACCCTGGTCGGGCTTCGTGAGTCTTCCTTAATTGTTTATATGGAGGAGGAGATCTTCATTCCCTGATCAGTGGAGCTTCTTTCCTGGAGTGATATTTTTACCGTAGTCCCTGAATGTCACCGTCCCAGATTATATGTCTCCTTATAAAGATGCAACAAAATGAGATCACGTTTCAGATTTGTTGGAAATATTCAGTTTGTTCTTCTGCCCCAAATCCATAAAAATCTTTGAGGCTCAGAAAGAAACAGACACTAATTGGCAGAAGAATACCACTGAAAGACTGTTAAAGAAAAAACAAAACAAAAAAAACCTAAAATGTAAGTCTGTCTTTTGTGAAAATTGCAATTCTCAAGTTATCTCATTCCAGAATAGTGGTAGCTGTTTTCTTCTGTTGGAGATACTTCTGTGTTCCACCTTATGTGGAATATTGTAGGAGAGAGGTGAAATATGCCACATTTCCTATACGTCTCTGATAAACATCTTCTGCTAGCCATGCAGATTACCACTTGGCTTCTGTGGAAATTACGATTCCATCCAGGGTTGGGGGCCAGATAGTTATTTAATATACATTCCAGCTGATTCCAGTAACATAAAGCTCACATGACAGGCACTGTGATCCCTGGTGTTTTCACATGTGTTATTTTATTAAATCTTCCCATCAACCGTATGAAACAGGCATAATTAGCTCCATTTTATAGTTAAAAAAACCCCTAAGATTGTCCCAGCATAAGTGACTTAGAATGGATCACATAAAGGTCTGCTTGACCTCTGCCTTACACCCTCCCAGGAAACCTCTGTAGTGTACATTCTTTGTGCATATCGTTCAACTTTGCCTTGTACACACTCAACGGATATATCTTCTGATCTGAATATACTTTCTTAATTACCCCTCACTTGAACAGGTGGTCTGCATACTTTGCCTTTGCTTCTGATAGCTCCTGACTTTCATCAATTAGTTATCTTCTGTCTTCTTTGTGTCTTTGATGTGCCACTTTGGTGTACTGTGTCTGGCCAAATTCAGGAGGCTATGTTATCTCCAAGGCATTGTGTTGCAAAAATTCTTTTCATTCTGGATATATTTTCCCTGAAGTTCCTACTCAGCCTTCTTTCCTAGAAGAAGCCTACCCAGGGGCATATCCCTACTCTCACAATTTCAGTGAACCTCTGCTGTTTATTCTAACTACAGTGGATAACAGAACACATCAGAACTTCCAGGTGAACCCTTTATGGGTTAAAAATAAAAATAAATTTTTATTATACTGTATGTTAATTATACTTCAATAAAAAACGTATTTGATTTGGAGTAGGCTTGGTGTATAGTGTACAAAGGATACAGTGGACATTGCAGCATGTTAGTAAGAAACTGTATTTCTGGTTCTGTATTAGGATGTCAGAAGTACTGTTCCCTCACATGGTGAGGTGGCAGGAGTTCTTTCCCCAGGTGGTGACTCCCAGCACTGAATAAGCAATGGGGCCTTAGACTTGATCAGGAACTTGGCTGCCATAGGGTCAGGCTCAGAAAGGGTAAGATCCTGGGGATGAGTTTGAGAGTAAAAGAAAGTTAAGGAACAGTAGGAGCTGGGTCTCTGTTCCATGGCCCTCTTTCCTCTTCTGGGAGACTTTTTGTCATCCGCAGGGTTGGGGGATGGCCAGCTTACCATTTACTGTTTATCCTTCTGCTGGAGAGGGGCTTTCCTCTTCTTGGACCACTGGGAAAGAGAGGAAGGAAAGCACCCAGCCCTTGGGAATTTTTTTTTTTTTTTTTTAATCACGAACACTGAAAAGCTGAGTGAAAAGATGTTCTTTCTTTTTGCCCTTTTACCTAAGACACAGTATGCTTAGTAACATGTAATGCTGGTCTTTGAAGGATTCTTTAAACCTTGACCTGCTTTCATCTGGTTGGGAATGGAAAGGTCTGTAGGAGATGAGGAGAACGAAGCCTCCAGATGAAGACATGGCAAGGAAGCTGGAGATATTTGCAAGGGAAGCGACCAGCCATAGGTTGTGCAGGCTGGTCCAGAGTTGGTGTGGTTGTAGGTTGCAGTCACTGTGGTGGAAGGTAGGGGTGGCAAGGGAGCAGAGAGTGGTTTTTGTGGTAAATCCTGGGTGACTTTCTGCATAGTCATCCTTAAGGTAGGAATTGAGTTTCAACTAAGGTTTACTGAGTATCTGCTACCTACCGGGAGGTGTTCTAGATGCCGGGGTGGGGGGGGTGGTGGTAGGGCATGCATTGTTGAACAAGAGAGACTGAGACCCTGCTCTTATAGACCTTATGTTTTTGTGGGAAACAGAGTCAATAGTCAAGGTACAAATAAATGAAAAAAATACCGTTCAGATACAAGGCGATACACCTCGGGGTGTGCTAGAGAGGGAGCTTCTCAGAGGAAGTAGTATTTGAACGGAAATGTGAATGATGAGAAGCAGCTGTCAAGTGAAGACCAGAAGGAAGAGCTTTCTAGAAGGAGGGAACAGCAACTGCAAAGGCCCTGAGGCATGAATGGGTGGGGGCGTTTGGAGAACTTGTAGATGGACAGGAGTGCAAAAGGAGAGTTTCAAGGTGGGAGACAGTCATCTGAAGCCTTCAAGTCTTGGAAAAGAGCTTGAATTTTGTTTTCATTAGAATGGGATACCACCAGGGATTTTTAATTAGAGATTAAGTCAGTCATTGCTTAGCAGGCATGGGCTTTCCAGTTGGTGTCTCTCACTTTCTCTCCCTGTCGTCCTTTTTCTCTCTCCCTCTCCCTCTGTCTCTCTCCTTCTCTCTCTCTCATATACACACTCACATGCACACACATTCACCCTCAGTCAGCTTTATGTCTCTCTGTTAATTGGCCATCAGTGATTTCTCCTTCCTCACCCCATGCCAGGGCACAGGCATCCATGCAGAGAGGCAAGGCTCAAAGGACCCTGGGCTCTGGACCTCAGCCTCTGAAATAAATCCATATGCTCATAGTTTCATTGTCATGCATACAACTCTGCATCACTAGCTCTGCGTTCTCAGCCCCTCTCCAGACTGAACCTCTAGATAGCTCTACGAAGTCTCTGGCTGGGTGGTATCTGAAACTAGATACTAAAAATTACGTTAATTAGGCAAATCAGTTGCAGTTGATATCTTTCCTAAGACAGTGATTGTCAGAAGAGGTGAAAATTTAAGTAATCCAAAGGCCTTGCCTTTTCCTGAATACCTGCTCTTTCTCTCCCAGACAGGCTGATGTCTACGTGGTCTGTTAGGGGAGGTGTGTGTGCTTTTTAGAATACAGTTTCAGTAGAAATGTGCAAGATTCTTGGACTCTTTGTTACGGGAATATCCTATGCCTGAGAAATTTCTTTTGTATTGGTCTTTGTAGATGATCTTAGAGTAATATTTTAATCATGAAGGCTTACACCCAAGCTGTTATCTCCTAGTAGCACTGGTTTATCAGAAATGAACAAG